GTTGGCAACTTTTTCATACAATACGAGTGTACATGAAAGCACAAGATTTTCACTACACGAGTTGATTTTCGGCAAAACAGCCAGAATCCCGATAAGTGATCCAATCTTGCCAAGTAACTTAAGTAAAACATATACTGACTACCTAACTTCATTGTTCGACCAACTCCGTGACTCACAAGACGCAGCAAAAGAAGTAGGGTAACAAGGGGGATTCTAACCCAGGTTCTCTGAGGGGGGTGAGGGGCAGGGGGTTCCCCGCGGCGCGAGGGGTCCGCGGAGAGAGGAGGGGATGACATCACTAGGCGAGGGGGCTGACGTCACGGGGGAGGGGGAGGGGATGACGTCACAGTGAGTGACGTCACAGGGTGAGGGGGTTGACGTCACGGGGGGGAGGGAGGGGATGATGTCACGGAGGAAGATGACAACGTCACGGGGAGGATGACGTCACAAGGTGTGGAAAATTCCATTGCGGGGCCTCCGGACGCGGTCCCTCCGGCCGCCTCCGGGCTCGGTTCTTCCGGCCGCCTCCGGGCGCGGTCCCTCCGGCTGCCTCCGGATGCCGTCCCCGCTATATTTACCATGTATACTCACCGTGTATACTTTCTCTCTCTCTCACTTTTATGCGGTATCTTCTTCTTATGCAGCAGTATTTTTTTCTCGCTCGCAAAGATTTCAAGAGCGCGATAACGCTGTCGTAGCGCGATGTAATACGATACCGCGGAAGTAAGGTGGCTGAGGAAAGATGGAATGCATAATGATAAATACTGAGATATGCAGAATATTAATAAACATTTATTACTCACGTAACGCATGATATACAATACTGAAGCATATAAAATCAATTCACATTCAATATGTGAGTTCTTATCATAAATCTTACGCAAGATATTTATAGCATCGCATTTGTTCATAATACAATTTTGACGAAAATATGTAATGAAATATTTAAATTTATCGCTTACACTATTTGTACATTGACACAAATCGAAATATATGCTCAACACATTGTTCCAGTTCAAACATGAAGAGCATGGTCGATGATTTCATATATAAACACTTATCACACAAAGATAATTTCACAGTGTCCACATCGCGTATTTTAACAAGTTCAATCACAAAGTCTTGAATCACTAATGACGACGGAGTAGTCGACTGCACCAATCGCTCGATATCAACCTTTTTTTCGACGAACGTCATCCACGTAGCACGAGGCAGGACGATGCGGTTGCCTTGAGTGTCACCGATCGCAATTTCCACGTGAGACATTGGGCCCACTGCAATCCCAATCTCCAGAAACTTGTACGGTGTCGGCGTCAGCGCGAACACCCTCCTTAAAATGCTACACGCACTGCAAGGAACAACAAACGAATAAGCAGTCTGTAGAAAACATTTTTGCTGATATAAGTGATATACTTACTTGCACGGTTCATGCTGAACACGAGACTCCATACTGATGATGTCGAAATCGTCTGAATGATTGATGCAGTAATATCGTTTCACCTCCTTTTTAATGTTTATACCCCACTACTCAACAATAGTTAAAAATGCAACATTGCAAATATGCGGCTGCAGTTTAAAAATTTATGCAAAAGACACGCCTGATGAGATCATCATTGTAATTTGATACCATAAAAGTGCAATGTTTGTGAAAACACGTCGCAACATGTTTCGCGATGACATGATCAATTTAACCTGCAAAAATGCATAGTAACAACAAAAGATTTTTAGACACATCCGGTGATGAAATCATTAATGTAATTTGATATTACAAAAATGCAATGTTTGTAAAAACACGTCGCAACATGTTTCGCGATGACATAATCAATTTAACACCTGCAAAATGCATATGTTGCAACAAGAGATTTTAGATACATCCGATGATGAAATCATCAATGTAATTTGATACCACAAAATGCAGCGGTTGCGAAAAAGATGCTCAATATGATGCAATTATACAACAACCATGTTAGATTTAACGTAATGAAAGAATTTTTCAAGGACATTTGAAATGTTTCACGATGACATCATCATTATAAATAACACAAATAATGATATAAAAATGTAAGGATTTAGGCACATCACGTCATTAGTCAATCTAACAGCAAAAGTGACAACATGGAGCGAGATTTGATTGAGCAAACTACCCTGCTAAATACAAGAGAAGAGTACGTCGCGTGGGAACAGCGATGCGACGAATTCATAGAATCTCTGGAAGAGCAGAGCCGTATTAAACGCCCGCGATTATCGACCGGTAATAGACAATCGGTGATCGCATGTATCGCGCGACTTGAAAGCTTGAAGGATTCGGTGCGCGGACGATTTGTGCACATAGACGCAGGATATGGACTTCGATGGCGCGAGATCGAAATGGCGTTCGAAAGTCGGATTCTAACAGGTGCGGTAATAAACTCTAATTATATCGAACCTCGCCGATTCCTCGCGAGTGAAATTGTGCTCGAGAGTGTGCAGTGTGTTTTACAGAGATATGACTCTTTAAAAATATAATAAATACAGTATTTAACGGTGAATTCGTGGCCGGTGACAAACGCGCGAACAAGAGTATCGCCACCCGGAACCTTGAACTATATCAATGCACAGATTTGCGCGAGTGATACACGTCGCGCGTCGTCGAGCCAATTCTAGCATCGCTCGAAGAATTTCAAGAACGTGACAGCGGGTGGACACTGTCACGTATCCTCAATTTAACGGTAAACGCGAATAGGTACAATCCTCTGCGCGCGGGATGTCATATCAAACTCTCGCAAGAAATTATGCTGAAGAGAGCGGTGATCAACATGCGATCCACAGACAATGCATGTTTCGCATGGTCGGTGGTTGCAGCCCTGCATCCAGCCCAAAAACATGTGGACAGGGAATCATCGTATCCGCACTACTCATCGATATTGAATCTCAAAGATATTCAGTTTCCGATAACGTTACATCAAATAAAAAAATTTGAAACTTTCAACGACATTTCCATCAATGTCTACGCCATCGAAAAGGGGATTGTGCCGATACGATTCGCTGGTCGAAAGAGGAACAAGCACGTAAACCTCTTGTACGTGGAGGATGATAGCGCGGGACATTTCACGCTGATCAAAGATCTGTTCCGCCTTGTGAGATCACAAATTACTAGAAACAAGAAGAAATATTTCTGCGATAAGTACATATAAATAATAATAATAATAAAGTAATAATAATAATTTTTTTTCAGATGCCTCCACTACTTTAACTCGAGCGCAAAACTGGAGACCCACAGTGAGGATTGTGAGAAATTGAATGATTGTGCGATAAGGCTACCGAGCGAGAACGACAAGTGGTCCTTTTGAGCTTCCGCAATCACTGCAGGAAGGAGTGCGTCCCGTTCATAGTCTACGCCGATCTTGAGTGCACATTGGAAAAGATGAATAGTGATTCACAATCCGCTATGCACATGTACCAACATCACAACGTCTTCAGTATCAGGTATTACGTGCACTGCTCCTACGACAGCTCACTGTCAGGCTACCGATTTCGCCGTGACAAAGACTGTATAGCGTGGTTCGCGGAAGAATTGAAAAATCTAACGCACAGTGTACAGTCGATAATTTCAGCTAATGTTCCCATAACGGATTTCACGCGTGACGACTGGGAAAAATTTAACAGCGCCTCGCATTGTCACGCATGAGAAACCGTTTACACCAGACGATGCGCGGGTACGCGATTACTGCCACTTAACCGGGCGATACAGAGGCCCCGCGCACTCAAATTGTAATCTAAATTATAAGGATTCGCATTGCATACCCGTAGTTTTCCATAATTTATCTGGCTACGACGCTCATTTCATTATCAAGGAAATTGCCACCGCGTACGAAGGACGCGTCGATCTTTTACCGATAACTAAAGAAAAATACATTTCATTCACCAAACACATTGACAGTACACCGAAAAAATTTTATTCTAGATTTCATTATATCCGACTAAATTACAGGATGTTTTCTACTAAAATACGCGCCAAGTATATTATAAAAATTAGAGGATTTTCCTCTAATATAATAAAATATTCTAATTATTTAGAATATTCATCTATTGTAGAGTAGAATATATTTTAATCTTTACACGCGAACACACGCACGCACGTACGCACGCACGCACATGTATGTACATATGTATATGAATTTATTTATATATAATATAATTCTGTGTATTTAATTTTAATCGATTTAATTTATTTTTTATTCTCTTTTTCTAATAATTAAAACTAGAAAAAAATGCAAAATAAGTTTAACCGAAATAAAAGTTAATTTACATTGGTGGACCGAATCTTATTTTCTGTGTGTTTGTGTGTGTGTATGTATATTACAAAAGAAACTCCAGTTCCACCTACGATAGATTAACTTTTATTTTGGTTTTATTTAGTTTTCATTTTTTTTCTAGTTCTGAGCATTAGAAATAGAGAATAAAAAGTAAATTAAATCGAGATTAAAGTTAATAAGAACCGGGTTCTCTTGTTATTCTCTAAATAGATTGAAAAAGGACTCTTTTAGGTTAAAAATCAATGAAAAAAAGAAGGAATTACACATACAAATTAGGAATAAAGATTTAAATAGGTTAAAGGTTAGGACATTCTTTGTTTTCTAATTCCTATGTAATTCATTATTTCTTTCATTGTTTAAGTTATAAAGATATATAGGAAAAAACTGTATAAAAAATATCAGAAGTAGATAAGTAGAATACGTAATGCTTTATACATATGTGTGACTTTTACAAATTATCAAATAAAATAATATAATAAAATTATATGAATGCTGAAAACAAAGCAACTGTTAATATAAAATGCTTAAAGACAATTTTAACTTATAACTACAATATCTTATATCTTATAATTAAAATACAAAAAATAAACGCTTACAGATGAAATGCTTAAAGGTAATAACTACAGCATATGCCTAAAAGTCACATAAGTATTCCCATCAGATCCCACATGAATAGTGGATGGATAAAAAGATACAAGATTGTCTTCAATCAGATCTGTATTCAATTAAAAACCACTCTGGAGTAGACTTAATTTTATAGGAATGTAAGTGTTCATTAAAACCAACGGTTTGTAACCCTGACAAAAGGAAGAAGGGATACAGCTCTTGCATATTTTGTGGTCTCACTATCCAACACAACTTTCCAAAGATAGGTAAGTTTTCCTCATAATTTATAACAAGGATCATGTTAGATTTATAACAGGTACCACAAATAACTGCTTCTTCAACTGCAAGTGACTGTTCCAATCCGTTAAATAAAATATTTTGAAACATTTCGAAGTTCTCACAATTTACTAGTCTACGTTCTTTTGGATGATATTTAACATCATTTGTAAAGCCTCGCCTAGTTAGGAATCTTGCACAACAAGTAAGTGCATATCTTTTTGCAATTGAAAGAGGTAGATTTTTACGGCAACTCATATTGTTCGCTACTTTCTTTATTACAGAGCGATGCTTCCCTTCTAGTCTCATTGACCAAATATGTATAATTGGTCCTATTAAATTCATGATACGGGGATAGTGCACCATGAAATGATGTTTAGATTTCAAGGTTTTACCAAAAAGTATACAATACATCTCATGATGCTCAGCAATTAAAGTTGAAAGATACTCGGTTAACTGCTGTCTTACATATGGAGCTGTTACAATGTCTAGTATTTCAGTAAAAACTACATAAAGTCTCCAAACTTCATCATCCTCTGGCACCAAATCCCCAATTATTAAACCAAAGTGGCGTACAAAAAACATCATTTCAGATGCAGACATTTTTAATTTTTGATTACGAATATGATCTACAGTAATAAGTGTGGACTTGTCACCTGAATCGCCATAATCAAAGTTCTGAATGCGATCATTGAGAGTTTCAAGGTTGAAAAATCCCATATGATTGATAAGGTAGTCTAGTATAGGACATAAATCATAATGGCACACTCCTTCAAACAAATCATGCATTATATCGCACTCAAGATTTTCAGTAACATGATAAGAATTCAGAACATGCCATATACAACGAGTCTTGATTCCTATTTGAGAAACATTATTAGTTAATACATCGTCTTCATAATTTATTCTATTGCGAAATACCAAAATATTCTCTCTCAATTGCCTCCTCATAATACTTTTATGCTCCTTACAAAACCTGCAGTAATAATCTGCATTAAATGATTCTACAAAGCCAGTCACGACATGTTGCCCTAAATTATCTCCAAGAATTTGACACAAGGCAAAATAAATCGTGTATTCTGAATCAGTTTGAATGACAATACCATTCGTTTCTAGATCTCGCAGTTCATTAATGATAGGTGCGAATACTTCTCTGTTATGACCATTCCTATGATCACTTAAAAAAACACACGCAAGAAAAATATTTTCCAATAAGGAAAGCAAATGTTGTGGGATACATGGAATGCGATAATATATTACTCCCAAACTGTGGTCACCTAAATGGGAACCTGCTTGTTTGTCAGGTTCCACATCATCAAAATATATATCTAGAGGCAAAACAATATGATTTCTAAAATGATTTCGCTCTATTTTTTTCAACAGTGGACTTTGTATAACATTTGTATAGGACTCAGAATTTTTAAGATTTTCAATATTACTCATTATAGTATTAAAGACACCAGGCAATTCCAAAAAATATTTTAATGTGCGTTTTATGGAAACAAACTGACCAGTCAGTTCAACTGGTGTCAAAACCATATTACCTTTTTCTTTTTTTATTTTCTCATTCACACCTATAACATAAGAGGTGGGACGTACATAACAAAAACTCTGTTGTAAAGCACTTATTCGTTGAGTCTCAGTTTCAAAACCTGAAAACATGTGGTGTATTGCAGCAAACATAGCATCTAAATTCTCTATCTCGTCCTGAGGTACATTGTTATCCCTAAGTACAGTGAGAGTTTTATCTTTTAACACTTCTAGGAAACTACTTGAAGCGAAGTTTTTAAAATAATCAAAAATATTTTGCACCTGAGTTCGATTAAGAGTAACGTTATTATATAACTTGGCAACAAGGGCCAAAGATGATTGAAATAAAATGTTTTGAAAATTTAAGACAGTTATTTCATGAAATTGCTTGATGTCCACATTGTTCCCTTGTAAGTTATTAGGTACATTTTCATTTATAAGTATCGCAGGGTTACCATCTACATTATCACGATTCATTTCGATAACATTCTCAGCTAGCTGGACATTTTGGTATGGTTGTTCGATAGGATGTTTTTTTCTTAAATGTTTCTTGAAGGATTTGACAGAGTCATACTCTCTATTACAACCGTCTTGGGAACAAATGTAAATGCTAAGAGCATTGAAAGAATGAAATATTTGCAAGTGAATACAAAGTGCACTTATTGAGCGTAAAGGTGTACGACATTCACTACAAATATATGCCATGCTTCTTACTGATAATTGAGAAAATAGGCTTAATAACTACGTTAAAAATTATTAATAAATTAGCAGAAACTTTATTTTTTTTTTTTTTGAGGCGAGTCCTTTGAGAGAACTTGTGACTCGAGAAATGTTTTCGTCTTCTTTCAAATATAAATTATAAAAATATTGTTGTATAAAATACCACACAGCATTGCACTCTTGAGGATATACTGCATCTAGAGCGTGATATGCTTTTAGGCAAGCATCCAGGGCTGCCACTGGTGTTCTTGGCTTGTAGCGAACACCATCAATTTGAACATATGTTGCAGATATGTTTGCTATCGTTTGTCCGACAACTATGAGAATCAGTTGGAGACGTGCTCCAATAGCATTGAGATGGGTACGATGTCTTTTTATAGCATTCTTCAGATCTCCTGGTACCTACATAAAGTATAAAAGAAAATTAGTCCTTCAAAAATTATAGTAGAATATAAAAATGAATAAATATAATTTTAAAAAAATTATTTACAGTCACGTGTAGAATGAAGAACTTTCTTGCCTCTTGCACTGATGGAACGTAACCTATACTTTTCCCTCGTCCTCGCTTGCAGCACAAAGATGGTAGTATATATAATATGATTACATCTCGTTTGTCTGTAATATCTATATATTAGAGAATATTATACGATAAGAAAGAATAAAACTAATGTTTACATTTACATATCTTCAGGAGTAGCATGATATTGTTTCAATAGATCTCTTCCATAACTATCCGAGATCGGGATTTCGATCTCCGCCAACTCAATTATTATTTCTTTTGCAGTTTCCCACTTTGAAAAGAGACTCTCTTCTTTACCTGGATAAAGCTCTTTAAAATCTTGATTTAGCTGAAGAAAATATAATTAGCATTCTTAGTACTCTTTGGAGAAGAGTAAGCTTATTTTATTTATTAGGAAAATTCTTTATAGTACACTTACTAAGAGGTACCATTGGGAAGCTCCAAAACATCCCATTTTTTTATATACTCATCAATGAGTTGTTCTTCTTCATTTTCGCTTTCATCATTTTCACTTCTACTGCTGCCTTTTTGAATTCTTCTGATCTCACTCTGAGTTTTTGGTCTTGTTTCTAACAAGATTTTACGTCTGAAAACATAAGTCACTGACCAATTCGCTAACAGTTCGGTCCAAGAATTCCGACTTCCATGTCTCAAATATGTCATAGCAGTTTTTATGGCAGGGTCTTCTTTATGAATGCTTCCTAAAATAAAATATTTAAAAGAATATTTAATTATTTAAAGGCAAAGTTTAATATACAGTATTTACTAATGTTACGTTGTAGCCGGACATCTATTAAACATTTT